AGCTGTACCACAACATTTGTGGGTTGACACACAAGAGACTAGGGCATGGGAAGTCATAGACTTGGTATTACGGATAGAAATAGGACAGACGCGGCGGAGACTGTAACTAGTTGGCTGACAATAGGCCTGTCTTACCATAGACGTGGTCCAAGTAGCTTTACCATGGCAATGATTCAGAGGCTTTAGCCTCGAATTAGTCACCCAGATGCAATGGGTGGGAGACAACGCCTCGAGTAGCACAGATGGAGTGGCAGGGGTCGGATAGCAGACGGATCCTACGAGGGGCAAGAGAGAAACTTTGATAAAACCTAGTGAAGTAGGACTGCGTAACAATGGGGAAGTCACTGCTCAACATTCCCAGCACAAGGAGGAAGGGGATGAGAGGGTGAGAAATCTCCATGGAGTGTGGGGAGTTCTCATGAAAGCCCAGGATGGAAGGAAAGATACCACGGTTGTTTAGCGGACAATTGGTCAAAGGACCGACCTCAATTGTCTCTTACGGGTTGTATTGTAGTGCTGAGACTGGTAAGGCGCACTGACGATGTTGGCGAAGCGTCTGGGAATGTACCACATCTACGGTCCGACTCTCGAAATGATCATGCATACAATGGACTCCGGACAATGTGCGTTCCTCTAGGTTTTCCTGCCAAAATAAACTCAAACAACTTCTAAGGGATGTTAACCACATCACGAATTCTTTCCAACCGATGTTCCACTTGAAAATGCCACGGTTTTTCAACCAGTTTGCAAATCAAGAATTGGGGCCTGCTTAGTGGAAGAAGTGAGTAGTGACCTATCCCCCTTACGTAGTTTTCAACTTCAACTTCTGACTGAGCCGAAGGATATTGAGCCATGGGCACACGTGTATGATGTGACCAAAACTAAACATTGAATTGGAAATGTGTGGGGATAGGTCATTACACCCTAGTCCAACTGAGCAGGCCCCAATTTTCGATGTGAAAACTGGTTGTGGCATGACTCTCCATTTCGAAGGGAAAGTTGGTGGGATGGAATTCGTGATGTACTCTCACCGGAAACCGAAGAAGGATTGCCGCGTAAGGAAGACTGTTGACTTGTGCGAATAAGTCCTCGGCTCACCGTCTTGCGACCCCCATGAAACTCCGCTAAGCTTTCGTATGTACCACCGTGACAGACATCATCAGAGCTGGAATACATAATTCACGAAATAGAGCAAAACTATATATTAAACCAAGAGGAAAAGAGGCAGTGTAACTCTGGTCTCAGCCTGATATCTTACCCTCATATCAATAATGCCAAGTATATTTCTGAATCTTGTGTACCAACCCAAATGGTGTATTTTTAGGGGGACCTTCATTTCGAATGAAAGTGCACGAAGAAGAGATTAGTTTGTCGATCTCACCAGATGAGGACGGATGAAACTCGTTGTACTGTAGCCGTTTGGCTTTTATACGATGTTCTTGTTGACGCAGTAGACGAAACTTCCTCCCTTGTTTCGCCTGAAAACGTGATGAGCTTTTGTCCATCATA